ACTTGTACAGAAAATGACATCAGTTGGTTGAATCCCGAGCGTTCCTAAGAACACTTACCAGTTCAGGGCCCCTCCTCTGTTCCAGTTCAGCAGTCAGCAGCACTTGGAAGCAGCATTGCTGGCAGATGATTCCTGTTGTTCCCAAGCCTAAACGCACAACAAGTAGGTAGGTCTCCATCTGGGAAAGCAGCTATTGCCTTCTGCATGGTGGATATAAGATACCATGGGAAAACATATACAACAGCGTGGCCATTTCATACAGTGGGGCAGAGTGGACGAACAAAATGAGCTGTCTGAGATCTGGTAAGACACTCAGAATGCTATTGCACACAACTGACTCATTTAATCCAACTGGGATCGTCTTATAATTGTTGGAGAAGCTGCCTCTGGAGAACAATTGCAAACACCCATCAAGATCATCCTCATCTAAGTGAATGATGTTGGCAGCAATACAAATCACCACCTACCAGTGCAGTTGCTAAATCTGTTAAGGGAATATACATCCTAGTGCTGACAATAAAGGAAGTGCTAAATGCAGTTAGGCTTCTTTATTATTTATTTGTTTCTCCCTAATTACACTTATTTCTATACAACACTGATGGCAGTCCATCAGCATTTGTTCATTCACTAGAGTATTTCAGGATGCCAAGTCAGGCTTAAAAATAGACTCCTATGTGTTACAGAGCTCAGTTTGGGTATGATTTCTTGCACAGTATGAATGGTTATATGGATGAATTTGTCTTACAGCTCTCCAGCTTGCTCTTAAGTTTCCCAACCCATCTAAAGCTGCATCTGTAATCATGCAGTCGATTGCAACAGGCTGTTTAGTTTAGGGGATAATCTGTTTATACAGTTCAGCATGCCAGGCCAACTTCCATGTGCATGCAGGATGAGAAATGATGCATACTGACCCAAAGCTCTGTTTAGCTCCTTCTGTTTGGCTCCTTTTCATCCACAGGCTTATGGACACCAATACTCCAGTTTGAGCTCTGACCCTGGAAAGGCAAAACTCCATCTTTCAGCAAGGCAGAATCTCACAGCTGGATTAAGAACACATTAAGGCCATTTTTGGGGGTCGAGAAGAGGTTAAACTGCCTGCCCAAGATACAGCCACAACTAAGCAGCTCCACCACCGGTGTGGTCACTGTGCTGTGACCTACATTTAATTAAGAGCTGCTTCTGCAGGGACAAAGATGCTCCTGAGGTGAGGTTCCTGCCCTTTCACTGCTGAGAGGGCAGTGGTGCTGTGTCAGAAAACAGCTTTATCCCAAATTTCAGACTCCTCTCCTCTTAGCAGCTGTCAGGTGTCAAGAAGGGCCATAAAGAAGTTGTCTCCATCAGTGAGATAGCAGCCTATGTAGTCCGTAGAAAGGACGACAAGCCTCAAGCTGGGAATAGGATACTGATGCAGTGACATTTGGAAGTAATAATTATGTATATTTCCAGATTTGGGGAATAATTCTTCTTCCAGGCTAAGAAGAGCCCTAGTCAAGTTCCCAAGTTTCAAAGACAAGGCAATACACAAGCTCTCCTCTGCGATGAGGCTGAAATCCCTTCTATTATCTTACCACTCATTTCAAGGCTGGAGAGTCAGACTCAGCATATGATGGCTAAGACCTGTACAACTCCATGAATTACACTTCCCAGAACATCCCACTTGCCTGGATCCATCTCCTGCCTCTCCAAGGGCTGCTGTTCCTCTGTTAACTGCCACTTTGCAACCACAGGAGCAAGATATTTTAAGGTAACTACTGCAGATGCATTTACATTGCTTGATTTCAGATTGATGGACCTATATTCCAATCCATTTAAAAACTCCAACCAGCTGTCACTTCAAATTAACCCAATCAAAAAGTTGATAAAAATCCTAATGCTGCCAAGAAAACATCTTGTGCCTTCTATCTTCCGTAATGATTACTACTAATTCAGAAAGCCCATTTTCCCCTCACTTAGAGTGATTACCTACATGGTAAATACCATTCCACCAAGTTGTAGAGCTTAGAGAGCAAGGAGCTAAGTGATAGACCCTTAAATGTGGTTGTCACTCAGTTGCTGCAGAGCCTGCACCCTCAGAACTCAGGTACATTGAGACCCAACATGGTGATAGGAATCACTACCTGATCAAGCAGCTTCTAGCAAGCTGAAGAGCCCAGCAGCCTTCTAGTATTGTCCCATCCCTCCAACATGTTTACCTTGCCAGATTGTTGCTTCTTCTAAATTTGGTCTAACACAGGTTAGTCAAAACAAGCGCATCTCTTCACAGCAGCACTGAATTCAACAGCCACTGGTTTCATGATCAAGTGGTTGTATCCTTCATATGCTTAACTCAAGTCAGAACAAGAAGAAAAATCAAGAGCTCAGACTCCTATATTCTTGTATATGGTGCTCCTGGGTAGCTAGGCTGTGACCAAGCCTTTGCTGCTTGTGATTTATGATGGGGGAATATTCCTTACTGGATGAGCACATGCTCAATGTATTCTTGGGAAACTACTGAACCACCGTGTTCCAATGTCAAATGGTAATAAACCCAAAGAGGAATCCTAAAATCCCCGTGATGGACATAAATGCACTCTGTGCTCCAGCAGCAGTAACACATCCAGCAGAAACCCCACAGCGTCCTACTATTGAGCTCTAAAATGTAACTGAGTTTAGGACTGCAGTGCTTGAATGCATGAAATCAAGCTGGAGGCATTGCCATTTCTGTCAGGCTAGAGCCTACCAGTGCCTGCTCACTCCTGCTGAAGTGTCACAACTTGCTTTAGTACAAGAGATGATACACATGATTTACACCAGAGCCAGGGTGGCACTTGGCCTATGAAAGCTGCAGTGAGTTCTCTGGAGAGCTGCACATCCAACCAGTATCACCTTGATAACGGGCAACCACCACTTGCAGCAATAGAAACATCTTCTCAGGTAGCCCCTAAAGTGATAGGGGATTACATGAACTGACAGTGCTTTATTTTGCTTTTCCCCAACTACAGTTATTACCATCCAGTACAAAATGCAAGGCAATTCATGAATGATTGATGGCTCTAGTAAGCTTTACAGAGCAAAACACCCAACTGAATTATGCCAGTGATTTTAAAAGAAAGACCAAAGAGAATGCCTACAAATACAGTGATCCCTCTGAGTCACTAACATTGGAAATCATTCCATAGCCTGCAGAGTCTCAGATCCTAATGAAAAATAGGAGTTATTCAGCACAAACACATCTATCACTGACTCTGTTGCAGAATTGCTCCTGTGTCATGCCCAGAGATGACAGTTCTTGTTCATAAGCAGCATCTGAAAATGATCCTGCAGGAAGAGCCTCTCAGCAGGAAGAGCAGCGGGGAACAGAGAGAAGTATGAAGCAATTAGGCAGGACTGTGTATATGCACCATAACACACAGCTTTGGATTCCACGTACCTGGAAGTGACAGCTTCAGGGAAGGAGGCTGAGGAAGCGGCTGCTCTTCTCAGCGCTGTCACAACGAAGGAAGTTCATTGCATCTCTTTGAAGTCATTCATTCACTGTTCAGAACAAAACCGCTGCAGCAGAGGTGGAAACAGGCATGATACAGAAGATTCTGCTATCAGGTAGAAAACACTCTTGTGATAAGAAAGATTGGGCTGTACTCGCCCAGAATCAAGACTTGAAGTTAACAAAATAAGCTAAGCTGACAGTCTTCAAGCAATAGGAAGTTCGCGATCTACTCCAACCAGGCCAGAATGGTGCCAACGGTTCTATTTTGGTGCAGTAAAATCAGCCATGCTTTTTACAAGAGGCAAAACCAACAGTAAAGCTGCATGTTGTCACGCAGAAGAGGGACATAGGATCTTTGCAGATAAAAGAAACGTTACAGAGTATGCAGAAGCGGCTGCAGCAAGAAAGGAGACACCAAGGAAGACAGATTGCACAGAGGGGGTAATAACAACCACTTGTCAAAGGATTGGGAAGCACAAACGGTGCTGAGGGAAGAGAGGAAAGAGCCAGCTCGCTGTTCTAGATAATATTAAAGGTAGAGGAAGAACAGAGGGAGGGAAGCACAGCTAGTGAACAGGGACCTGCACTGTGAATGGCCTCCCGAGGACAGCACCGCTATCTCGGACTTTCAGTTGCCAACTTTCACATCCTTCTGATGCTTCACCCACTTCATCTGCTGCTATTGAAACTGAATCTGAAGAAAGAGATTAAAACTCTAATGGGGAATGCATTGGTGAAAGGACCACTAGAAACAGTCGGATGGGAGGAGCCCAGAAACACAAAGGCTCCCAATTAACTGAGCACAAGAGTAATTGCCAGAACAAAGGCACAAAGGAGCCCGGATGCCTTTCCCCTTCTCTAGCAAACCAAATGAAAGCTGGCTTAGGAGAAATAATGACACAACTGCCAAGCACCTCTGGGAAGGAGAGTTGGTAGGGTGAATAGCGCTTCAAAAGGTAAAATGAAAGGGCTGTCATTCCCAGAGCAGAGAAAAACTGGCTTTGAGGTCAGTGTGGAAACAAGGGGAGAATATGGTGACAAAGCTTTTAAAGCTAACTGATCAGTTATCATCGAACACCAAGCTCGCCTTTCCATCTCACGTTGTTTGCAGGAAAGAGCTTCTTTCCGCTTAACTAATCTACAAACACTGAGCATCAAACGTGGTAGGTCACTGTGAGCTCCGGCCTCAGTTCAGGATGGGTTCAGAGGCAGCACAGGGCACCCAGTTACACAGCACTGCTCGAACAACACAGTGGCTTGACTGAAACAGCTCTAAACGAACGGTTGAAGTCTCCTGCAGTGACTGGTTAGTGAAGACATCCCCAGACACCTCAGAAAGCCCTGGAATGCCTCTTCCCCGTATTTTTCAGCTTTTCTAACTGAAAGCATCCCATTCCAACTCAAGAAAGCAGAGCTTTGCAGGCACCATTTAAAGCAACAGACACATACTTAGCTGCTAATTCAACGACTCCTCACCTGTAACTGCCCTTTAAAGAACAAGCACTTCATGTAGTTTATACACAGTTGTTAAAGAGATTGCTCTGAGCAGCAGCTGCATGCGGCTAAGCTCTGTTTTGTGTGATGAGGGGCAGCATTAACCAGCAGCTGGTATGGAAGGGACCGGATCTGTGTGTGCAGTTAAGAAGTTGTCTTTTTTTTTGTTGGAAACTCATTATTTTAGTGCATGGGGGGGTTGCAAGCCTTAGTTGGACTTTTAAGAGTTTTACTGCTTGCTTGAGGCATCTGGGGTAGTGTGAGGGGGTAAAAGCTTCTACTGAAGTAGTTCTGAGCTGGTAGGATTGGCTGTGATGAGCTGGCTTGCCCTATAGAGGAGAGGATCTGCAAAACAGGAGAGTGTCTTAGAAGTAAGAATGTATTGATTTGATAGTGATATTTGCTGGTAGTTCTGTGGGTGGTGTGTATCTTTGTGCGGGTGTCTCTGCCTTGCTGAGCTCTCTAACGTGTCTGCTTTTGTTTCAGATGGAAGTAGGGCTCCTCTTTGTGAAAAAGGGAGGTCTGGGTTGTTTGAAGACTGGACAGGGTCAAGTGAGCAAGCAGGTAGGCAGGCAGGCAGATGGCTCATAGAAATGTGTCCTGTGGCTGTGGAGTGATGGTAAGAATGAGCAGTTTGAAGTCAGGCAGGAGAGTGGAAGACAGGAGGCTCTTCTTGTCCAGGAGAGAAAACAAGTTCCCTGTTGCTGGTTAAGTTGTACTGGGCAAAAGTCAGTATATTCAGTTTAAGTGTAAGCATGAGAGCACTGTTCAAGGATTGGAAGCTCAAGTGTGACTAACCTTAGCTGAGGCATGAAGTGAAGATACTAAAACTGGTAAATGCCAAGATATGGCTGGTGAAAAAGTATGTTCCAAGTGTTATTAGAGACAGCTCTGCTCAGACCTTGAGCCTTGCAGTTCTGTGAACTCAATGTGCCTGCTGAATTCTAGCTTTAGCTTCCACCTGTGTGCAGGGTGAGGAGTAAAAGGTGCAAGGTGCTTGATTTTAGCTCTTCAACTTACAGGTTTATGGAGTCCCTGTGTGAAACTGCTGATGAAGTGGACTTGCCGTGTGTGTTCTTAACACAGATAGGCCTGGAACGGAGATCAAAGGTTTTGCCATGACAGTAACTCTTCCTCTTCTTCATGTGAGCCATAATTGAGGCTTATTTGGTGAAATGAGTTTAAAGACTCTTTTGTGCTGATTTGCAAACATACATTGAAATAAATCCTGTGTACCTGTCAGGAACTTAATCCTTCCCTAAGCCACAAGTATTTGTGCTAAGCAACCAGCCTATGTGCAGATAAAGCGTTATGCAGTGTAAGCAGTTACTCTGCTGGAGAAGGGGAGACTGACATCTCAAAAATGGACTTTAGATTGAATTACCATATGCTAAAGCCAGCCATAGATCAGGGTGCAAAATCAATACAGCTTGTAGGACAAAAAGCCAGTACTGACGTGCAGTTCTAGCCAGCCAGGAAAATCAAATTTCACCTCAAAGAAGAGTTGCTTGTGCATAAATAGGCAAATGTATAGAAATCTGTGAAATACTGCCTGGTTTTTATGAGGTAGAAACTACTCCAAGTGGAAAGCATCCTGTCATCTAGAAGGGACTGCAAAGTGCACTAAAATAACAGGCTTGGATAGATGAAGCTCTTGTGTAACTGAGAGAGCACTTTGTGCCAAGTAAGTGAGCTCTGTGCTGATTTGTGCCCCCTCTTTTGCAGCTTTCACTGCAGGCTGTGAGGTTGCTTTGGCTGTTGGTCAGAAATGATACCCTGCAGCTTCCAGATCACCTTTCTGCAGATGTAAACTGTGCACTGACTGCTCTGCTCCCCAGAAATACAGTGAAATTACCCAGCTTCCTGTCAGAAGGGGTTTGGGTTGGAGCAGTGACTAAGAACAGGATTCCCGACAAGCCACAGGTGAAAGGTTTTGCCCATGGTACATTGCTGCTCTGGTTCTTGGGCCTATTTATATTTACTTAAAAGCAACTTGCCATGCATGCAGCTCCGTTTTCAGTCTTAGTCTGCTCCAGTGTGGGCAATGTGACAGAGCTCCTTTCCTTAGGACTCGGGAGGCTGAGTTTGGTGGAGTCACTCTTCCCTCTCAATCCTTGCTTCTTTCTTGTGAGCACTGAGCTGAGTGTTCCATGTAAATCTAGTGAAAAAACAGTGAAACTCTTCTTATTTCTAATCCCTTGACTCTCCCTATTGTCCATAGAAGTTATAAGTTGGGAAGCTTCCAAACGCTTGGCCTAACAATGTATTCTGTGTGGGTGACAAGCTTATGCCCTTGCTTTTCAGTTTCCAGTTTGAATACAGATTAGTCACTTGTGCAGAGCCTTTAATGAAGTCCTGGTCCTGTAGGGAATTTGGGAGGCATGCTGCATGCGATTTCTGCTACCTCTGCTGGAACTGCAACAAAGATGTCAGGGTCTTTGTGGAGGTCCATAGAGGAGGCTGAAATGGCTGGTGGAAGGACCTTTTCCTTTAGGCTGCTTTCTTGCAGAGAGGGAGTTTGGGATTTGTCACAAATGGAGATCCTGTTGCATCTCTGCAGCCTTTTCTGGGATGGAGAAACCTTGTCTTAATTCATGCTCCTTGTTCTTTGTGCTTGCAGAGACAAGGACCGGTGTGCCAAGGAAGCTTGCAAGCCTGAGTGCTAGGGAGGTTGGAACTCTTTTGTAGGTCGTGACAACTGCTTCCTTGCCGTTAGTAGCTGTAATTATGACTGTCGTACTACAATGGCAGGTAAGTAACAGCCCCTAGGTTAAGGCTCAGCTATAGGAATCGAGTAAAACATGAGAAATACCTATAGAAGCCTCCAAATAAGACTCCAGAGGGAATCTTCAGTTTCTTTCTTGGCCTTTCAGAAGCCCCTTAGGAAGCAGAATTTAGGTACTTGATTTTAGGAGCCAGATTTTGATTTTTGTAGCCCTTTAAGCAATAATCAAAGGGTGCTCATGTTGCAGAACAGCAGCTGCGGATGGAACTGTTGAGATGAATGTTGTGTGCAAGTGTGGCACTTACTGACAGGTTTTAATTGCCTTTTGAAGGACAGTAAAGGTGGGGACCTGCATTTTCTCCTTCAGGGCACTTCATGAATAAATGCACATAACTCTCGAGGCTCTATACCTTAAGCAGCCACAGCTTCAGTAAATGCATTGTATACTTTGTTCATCTGTGAATAGTAATTGAGTCCTGGACTGCATTTGTAGTGCTGAGAGTAATACAACTACCATGATGTATAATAATGCTTAAGAGCTCCAGGGAGGCTCATTTACATGATAGTGAGGGAAATGGTCTTGCCAGGAATAAGAATTAAGAGGCTGGTATTGTGTGAATTATAAAGTGGGTTTCAGGTGGGGAAGGGTATATGGGAAAAGGGTGACTAATGGCATTGAAAATCGTTGTTAGGAAGATGGGTTGGCTTTTATTTCCCCTTTGACTGACTTGGAATAAGGGGGGATCTATTCCTCTATAGTCTTTGGAGAGCTGGGTGCTGCTTCTGGCTCTGCAAATCCCGACCATCGAGTCCTACTGAAGGGAAGTGTAACTCCAGTGGGAAATGCAGGCTGTTTGCAAGGCTCCCTGTGGTCACATGAAACTGTAAAACTCCAGGATCTTCTCCTGCAGAACCTGCCCTCACCCGGCTTTCACCTGCTGAAAGATGAGTTCAGTCACTGCTGGCCTGAGTTGGAGGGGCTTCATTAGCGGCATAGCCCTTCGGGTGGCAGTGTTGCCTCTTCTGTACTGGGGTGCAAACCCTTTCTAGGGACCCTTTGTGTCCTGTTTGAGTTCTAAACGCTCTGTGAACTCTTTTGTTTCGATAAAGAAGTGTGAAGCTTGGGTAGTTAAACCTTCCCAAAGGTAAAGTTGTGTGGGGCTCCCTGTTTAGTCCTCGTTTTAGCATAAGAGTGCCGCAGGAAGGTTTCATGGCTTGCAGGCTATGGGATGGAGGAAAAACTTGGCTGGAGAAGAGCTTGGTGAATTGAAGCGCCAGTGCGAGAAGCTCTCTGAGGAGTTGAAATTTGGGAATCTAAAGGTAGCTATTTGCTCATGCTGATTTTTTCCAAATGGCCCTGAAGAGACAAGCCTCTACAGGGAATGATTTGCACCAGTCCTGCCTCAGCTTCAGTCTCTGACTGCAGAGTTTGGCTTCCTTAGCTGCAGTTAGCCCCTGTGAATGCTCCCAGAGGGCTGCTGAGTGGCTCTGAGCCTCTGGTCCATCATATTCATAAAACAGACTGAGATTCTGGGTAAGAGATGCTGCTGGAAAGCTAAGTATTACTATTGCCATAAAGCTGATGTTAACACATCTGTGTGTGAGGGGAATGTGCTCTGCGAGCATAAAGTGACTTTGCCACCCTTACAAGATTGCAGCTTTTACAGCTGCACTCCCTGTGTTTATAAAACATATAGGGCCAGCACCAGCATCATCTTGAGCTATGACTTGTCCCAGCCATCAGCTGGAAGCTGCTGTAGTGATCCAGTGAATTAGGGTGAGGGCAGAGGTAGGAATTGCCATCTGGCCTGGCAAGTGGCTGATTTGGAGGTGGATGTGGGTATATCATGGTGCCAGAACACCATGTGCTTTAATCGGGCTGCTTGCCCGCAGGCATTTAAACCTTTCGTTTACAAGTTGTGGGGCAAAGCAGTAACTGAGAAACCAGGCAGACACTCAGAGATGCTCTAGGAATCCCCAAGTGGCTTCAAACCCCAGAAGAGCAGGGGCAGACCTGATCTGAGGCCTGCTTCTCTGTGCAGGTTTTGTTTCAGCTGTGAAGATGATCAAATATAATGAGGTTCAGCAGCTCAACGATGGGCTGCTTCAAGTGAGGGGTCACTTCCTAACGCCTGCTGTCACAAAAGCTCTTCATGCTGTTGCTGTCCCCGCTGACTGCAAGGGGGGGAAGCAGCAGGCTCACAGCTTGTGAAGGTGCTCAGCTCTGCAGAGGCTGTACCCAGCAGGGAGGCAGGGATGCAGCCACACGTGCAAATGCCCGAGCAGCTTAGAGACACGTGAAGCATTTGTCACTCCTTGCAGCCATCCATGTCACTCCCAACAGGTTTATATCCTTGTCATCCTCTTCGTGCCGGGAATAAATAGCTGGAGATAAGTGAGGGCAGATTCCTTGTCTTTTCAGAAAGCATTGTGGGGTGGGAGGAGGAAAGGCATCTTTGATCCTGGCTGTATCTGCTGCCTGGTGTGAGCTGGTACCCCAAGGTAACTGTTCTGCTCCTGGGGCTGCTAGCAAAAGTGCAGCAGGCTATAATAAGACCTTCCCCTCATCCCTGGGAGCTGAATGCTGACGAGGCCCTACCTGAGCTGGTCCTGGTGCATCCTGTGCCACAAGCTAATGCCTCCGGTGCTGCCTGCAAAGGGCAGCAAACAGCCTCCTTGGGAAAAGGAGATGGGGATGTGGAAGGTCAGTCAGGCACTGCCGAGATGAATGAAACAACCCAGGCAATGGTAGGTCTCTAAACTTGGGTTACCATGTGTCTAGGCTAAAATGGTGCTGTCCCCACATCAGCTTTGTACTGGTGTGAGTTGGGATGCTGATGTGACGATGGGGCAGGACTGATGATGCTGGGTGCCTTCCAGCTGAAACAACTGCACTATTGCATCTGAACACCTCTCCAGCTGAGAGCCTGCCAGCCCTGTACCTCTCTTCAGGATTTATGGATACTTGGAGTTGGCTGGGAGACCTTGTGCTGCTGTGGCAGCCAGCCCTGCCATAGGCTGCAGGTGCCAGGCTGGCACAGAGCTTGTGCCTGAGGGAATGGGGGTTTAAAATCCAATCTCCTCCAGCTGACAAGTGCCTGCTTAAGCCAATTGCTTTACAAGGACCAGCCGGCATCCCCATTGCCTTCCCTCTGTACTGTGCTAATGGGGTTGTACAAACATCCCCTCATTTGCAAGAGCTGTTTTCCTACTTGGGTTCTCTCTCTTCAGCTCCTTGTTTTCATTCTTCTTCTCTGCAACTGTAATATGCTGGGATTTAGATCCCTTTGGACCTGATTGCATGAGAGCTAAATTCTTCCCGGGATTTCCATGAGGTGAAGCTGGGTAGCAGTTACATTGACATTAGCATGGCCTGTTCTTTGTTTTAACTAATTTATGGTTAAGGCCAGTAGTAAATTGGACCCCTGTGCTCCAGGAATAAGGAATATACAGGTGTGATGTGTACGATGAGGCTCAGAAATGGTGGCAAATGTAGCTGGTGTGCAACTCGAGTGGGTCGGTACTTGCATGGATGCTGAATGTTCCTTCTCTGCTGTGCTGGAGCAGACCTAGCTTGAGCCAAAGCTCCTCTTTAGGGCCTTGCGTGTCCCTAGGTTGTGGGCAGTAGTTTTGCAGGGAATAGCCAGTTTTGCCTACTACATGCTGAAACACCTTCTGCCCCAATGGTGTAAGGACAGGGAATGCCAGTCTCCTTGTTAGCTGGGTCACGAGTAGGTTCTAGACAGAACTGAAAACCTGCAGACGATGCACCTTCATTCTTATGCACGCAAACCTGTCTTTCCTGCTGCTCCACACTGAATGGTCCAGTGAGCAGGACAGCAGCATCCCAGGAAGAAGGCAGAGTCATCCCAGCCCTCTGTTCTGTATGCTCTGATGAAGTGTTTCTGTCACTAGAGAGGACAAGGGCTCTTGTCCCAGTCTCCTGCTCTCTCAGCATCATGCTTTGAGTTTTCCAGCAGAGCTGCCTGATGTGCTCCTTGGACCTTGAAGGATTTGTTCCATGTCAGATGCAAGAATAAGCACAAGCTATGCCTTAGACTTCCAGAAGGATTCTCACAGGGATGATGGTGAAAAGCAGCTCAAGGTAGGTTGGTGTCCCTGCTTTGCATGCCGGAGGGATATAGCCCTTGTCATGGAGTTCCTGCTGGGATAACAGTGTTTCCAGGCAGATCAGATGATCTCCTCTTCAGTCTTTCAGCGTCAGTGGTAGTAATGCTGCTGTTTGAGATCAGAACAACAGAAATGGCCAACGCTGTGGAGGTGAAAAGATTGAAGATCGTCTGTAGCAGTTCCTGTAACTTCTCTTGTTCTATGGAGGAGGAGGAATCATTGCTCAGTACTGGCAGTGGTGCAGAGGCATGAAAAGGAATTAACCTGAGTGCTTTATTGTGCTGATCTTCATCCAAGCACCCAGCCAAAGGTGGCTTAGGAATATGTCTGTTTCTAGCTGAGGAACCAAAGGGACATTACACTCCTAGATCTCTGGGGAGGAGAAGGTTTGAAGTGAGTGTGAGGACTAACCTGCTATGTAAGAACAAGTTGGCCTCATGTAGTACCCTGCAGGAGGGCTCTGCATGGGGAAGGGCTTGTTTAGGAGCTGCAGGTCTGATGCTATGGCAGGTCTCTTGTCTTCACTCCTCAAATGATGCACAAACTCCTCCCACACTGATCTAAGCACAGGCTCATGCATGGTTTTTGC